ATATATACACACTTATTAATATTTATTCTTAATGGCAATTCTACAGTATTTGAGAGTAAGAAGTTGGATTATTTAAGTAAACAACCACCTAGTTTCACTTTTTGTGAATATACAAACCAAAAAAAAGGGTTATTCTGTTATGTTTGGTCACATTTTAAAAGAGCCACGTGTGGCCCCAGAGCTGCAGACTGCAGACACCTGTTCTAGAGGGATTAGATGTTCTTGTCTTTTGTTTTGTTAATAACATAGATATTTTTTGTTATATGAACTTATTCATGGGAAAATGGGCAGATGTAAGATTTTTTCTTCTCTCTGCTACCTTTCATTTCATTTTATTTGTGATTTTGATGCACGTATCTATATTTTTTCTCATTTTTCTTTTTATATTTTTCATTTTGTTGTATATTGTATATAAAATTGTTTGTTTTATTTTAAAGAAATGAATAAATTGAAATTGAATTGAAAACCTTTTGTACCAATAGTTTTTTTCCATTGATGTCCAAACGATGATGATTGAATCCAAATGATGCCTAAACAATCCAGGTACCTAAACATGTCTGATTCTGTAAGGTCTGTGTTTGTGTTCGTCCACTTTAGGTCGGTACCGTCCCGGCAAAGACAAGCCAGATCCCAAAACATGGAAGGCAAACTTCCGCTGCGCCCTGAACTCTCTGCCTGACATCTGCGAGCTGCGGGAGCACAGCCGCAAGAGGGGCAGCAACGCCTACAGGGTCTACAGGATGCTGCCCAGCTCTCAGAAAGGCCGACGTCGCAGAGGTAAGGAGCACGTCGAAACACCCGGAGGCGCGGGTGAGAAAAATCACTCGGCACAAACGTCAGTTGACGGCCCGGCTCTGCTCTGTCCTCCATCAGGCCTGCGCTTGCTCCGCGGTCCTCCAGAGAAGCAGACCAGTTTCCAAGGAAGCAGAAATGAGGACGTTTACGACACACATACCTGGCAGCCTACGTCACGACAGATTTCTGACCCACATTGTAAGGTGGAAACAAATGTTCAGCATACCTTTAACAGCACAGAGATGCATGGTGAGGAGGGGACTTTTTTAGATTTTAAGTTAAAGTGCTGCATTTTTGATCTGGTCTGAGCTCACCAGCTACTGACGGTTGATGGTTTTTGTTGTTTTGTAGGAATGTGGGAGTCCAAACCACAGGAACAGGAACACAGCGAGACTGTATACAAGGTAACGCCTTTAACGGACTAAATGCATTTTTCTGATCATTATCACTGAATCCTAAACAAAATAATGACGCGCAACATCTGCTTAGCAACTGTATGCATACTGGTGTTTTATTTTTACTTTTCTATAAAGGCTACACAGTTGTGTGTTGGGCTGACCTGGTGTTTTTAACCCCACAGCTAATTGACCATCTAAGTGGCTCTGACTTGTGGAACCAGACATGGGAGCAGAGAGGATGGAGGACACACACTCTGTGGGACCAGTCACACTGTAAGATATAATGTTTGCTCATCTTCGTTTGAGAGAGCAGCTCGTTGGCTTTTAAGTTTCAAGAGTCAAGATTTCACAAAACGAGCACTCCCCAACCTGGACTTTAGCTTTTGTACCCAAACACAAAAGATGAAAAAAGCAGATCTGAGTCCGTTCAGAAAGGTGTCACTGATTCAAAGTGCATTGACTTCAACTACAAGTGTGCTGTGGGGTTTTTACATCGAGGAAAAACAAACCGACACAATCAGCATCACACATTTAATGTGATTGTTTCTGAACCGCAGATGGAAACTGACACACCCTGAGTTAACCTACACTGGCACAGGAAGAACAGGTTTGCAGCGCACTGCTGTCAGGTGACAGTGCTGAACCTCGGTGCAGTTAAGATACAGAAACTAAAACGAATGTTAATAAAATGTTTGTTTTTTATAAGTTTAACTGAACCCTACTAATGCTGCTTCACTTTAACAGTTTAGCTATTGGGGGGGTTGACATTTGTGAACTTTATAGCAGCTTTATATCCTGTTATAATGTCATTCCCTCATCAAAAACTTACACAGTGTTGCTTTGACTCATCGTGTTTAAGAAATCCTTGAATTTCCCGTGGTAGCCAATTAGAGCTTTGCTTGTTTGTTTGTTTGTTTATTTATACAGAGACAATGCACAACATTTCATTAACCTTTTACAAGGAGAGACGCATGGTACCAGGTTAGAGCAAAGAATGCTAATTTCCACCTGCAGTCTCTGGACAGGTTGATGTGATCAAACATGTTCTAATAAACAATAACATCGAAAATGTGCTGAAGTGGGAGTGTCTGAAACGGTAGGAGGTTCTTAAATGATAAGGCACAGCATTTTATTTATTTGTAATTGACCAAATTTTTTTTCAAATTTTGATTTTATTTTGGTTGCATGTTTTGTTCTTTGTTATTTTGTGTTACAAATGAAATGAATAAATTTCTAAATAAAAATAAATAAACAAATAAATAAAATAACATGATGTAATGGTAACATTAATAACATTTTGTTTCTGTAAGTTAAATTGTTTTTGAAGAGCCTGCTTGGCGACAGCACCGATCCCACCGAATGTTGACTTAATTTGAATGTTTTTGTCCTTCCCAGGCACTGCTGATGAGAACCCCTACTCTGTACACACTGAGAACTACAGCGACCCGTTTGGTCCAAACTACACCAAAGACCTCTCTGACTGGTCCACACATCAGCAGCCACTGATGCCGTAGTTTTGTGGAAACTTTCATTTTCTAGTATTTAAAACTTGTTTTTGTTGAAGGCCGCCTCTGATTGAAACTCCCATGTCAGCATTTTTCCCCTCCTTCTGCTGAGCTGACTAACTGAAGGACAGAAAAAAAGAGGAAAAAGCCAGGAGGGCTGGAGAATATTGCTCTGTCAGTCAGCCTCGGTGCTGAGAAGGCGGCCATGAGGATCTGGTTCCAAGCCAAGCTTTCCTGCTGCTCACTGTGGGTCAGTGACTCAAACTCGTTCAAACGACACCAAGCTCACACTGCAGCTTTTGGAGGAAACAGATATCGTTTTGCCTGAGAGTGAATTGAGCCATTACTCTTTTTTTTGACTTTGTATTGATGTGTAGTGAAGATGCAACAAATTGAAACCCATGAAAATGAAGATATGTAATTATCTGTAGTTTTGTGCTTATTTCTGTAACATTTTATAACAAGTTCTTACCTTTGTCATGTTAAAATATTAAAATTTTCAATACACCTTGTCAAAGGTTATTGCATGTATACTGTATGTAGCACGAACAGGTTCTGTCACACTCAGATTCACTGCACATGTATTTAGTTTGTGTGAACATGTTACGGCTCTGAGTGTTAAATGACTCCTCTCACGGTCCACTTGTTTTGATGGTTTCCCCACGTAAATGAGACACTTACACCACAGGGAGCACTTTGAATTATCCACTGTCAGGCCTGCATGATGGAGAGGGCAAGGTTCACATCTACTTTGTGCTTTTAGGGAACACAGCAGATACTTCAAGAACATTTTTGTTTCTCATACAGGTTATTTTTTGCGTTGTGAGATACTCTAGAAATTGGACAAAATATATCATTTTATATTTCATACACTCTGTATGTAATGACAGATGAATTTTTTTATTTTATCCATTTCACCAAAAGAAATATTTAATATTTTCTGTGTTTTCCTGTGGAGTTACCCAGTGTTGTATAAAGTACCTCAAAGTGATACTTGAGTAAAAGTACAAGTATCTTATCATAAAAATACTTTAGTAAAAGTTAGTCTTCTGTAAAAATATTACTTGAGTAAAAGTCTTAAAGGAGCTGATATTTTTTGTACTTGAGAATCAAAAGTAATTTTCTGACACAAAATCTACTTGTTAAAAGTAAAAGTACTGAGTAAAAGTGAGCAGTTAGATTTTCCAAAATGACATTTGTTGGGAGGTGACTTCTCAAAAATATTTTTTCTAATGGTGTGCAGCTGTGATTGGTTGTGTAAATGGTAAATGGACTGTACTTATAAAGCACTTTTCTATCCATCAGGATACTCAAAGCTCTTCACACTACAATCTGTGTACAAGCAAATACAGTGTCAGAATGGTATATATTTATACTTCTCATCCAACCACAATTACATTCACTCTATCCAGGAGACACAATTTATCAGGATATAATTTTTTAAGTAATAACAACTCGAAATAAAACAGAAGTAATGACTTTCTACTTCTTACCTTTTTTTAAAATGTAGCGAGTAGAAAGCACAGATACAGCAGGTAAAATAAGTATTGAACACGTCACCATTTTTCTCAGTAAATATATTACTAGAGGTGCTAATGACATGAAATTTTCACCAGATGTYGGTAACAACCCAAGTGATCCATACATACAAAGAAATCAAACCATAAATGTCCAGAAATGAAGTTATTTGTAATAATGTGGAATGGCACAGGGAAAAAGTATTGAACACATGAAGAAAGGGAGGTGTAAAAAGACATGGAAAACCAAGACACCAGCTGAACTATCTCAGTAATTAGAAAGCAAACCTGCCCCTTGTCAGTGCAAATTCATATCAGCTGGTTCAGTCCCAAATGATGGCCAGGTATCACACAAGAACCATCTGATGATGGGTAAAAGTAAAGAGCTCTCTCAAGACCTTCACAACCTTATTGTTGCAAAGCATAATGATGGCATCGGTTACAGAAGAATGTCTAAACTTCTGAAGGTTCCAGTGAGCACTGTTGGGGCCATAATTCAGAAGTGGAAAGAACATCATTTCACCATAAACCGACCACGACCAGGTGCTCCTCACAAGATTTCTGACAGAGGAGTGAAAAGAATTATCAGAAGAGTTGTCCAAGAGCCAAGGACCACTTGTGGAGAGTTTCAGAAAGACCTGGAATTAGCAGGTACGTTTGTTTCAAAGAAAACAATAAGTAATGCACTGAACCACCATGGCCTGTATGCACGCTCACCACGCAAGACTCCACTGCTGAAGAAACAGCATGTTGAAGCTCCTTTAAAGTTTGCTGCACAACATTTAAACAAGCCTGTGTAATACTGGGAGAATATAGTCTGGTCAGATGAGACCAACATTGAACTGTTTGGATGCCAGAATACACATCATGTTAGGAGGTCAAATGGCACTGCACATCAGCCCAAAAACACCATACCAACAGTGAAGTTTGGAGGTGGGAACATCATGGTGTGGGGCTGTTTTTCAGCATATGGTACTGGCAAACTTCAAATGATTGAAGGAAGTATGAGTGGAAAAATGTACAGAGACATTCTTGATAAAAATCTGCTTCCATCTACCAGGATGATGAAGATGAAACGTGGCTGGACATTTCAGCAAGACAATGAGCCCAAACACAAAGCCAAGGAAACTCTCAGTTGGTTTCAGAGAAAGAAACTAAAGCTGCTGGAATGGCCCAGCCAATCACCTGACCTGAATCCAACAGAAAATCTATGGAAAGAACTAAAGATCAGAGTTCATAGAAGAGGTCCACGAAACCTTCAAGATTTGAAGACTGTTTGTGTGGAAGAATGGGCCAAAATCACACCTGAGCAATGCATGCCACTAGTTTCTCCATACAGGAGGTGTCTTGAAGCTGTCATTGACAACAAAGGCTTTTGTACAAAGTATTAGATAAATTTCAGTAAGTGTGTTCAATACTTTTTCCCTGTGCCATTCCACATTATTACAAATAACTTCATTTCTGGACATTTATGGTTTGATTTCTTTGTATGTATGGATCACTTGGGTTGTTACCAACATCTGGTGAAAATTTCATGTCATTAGCACCTCTAGTAATATATTTACTGAGAAAAATGGTGACGTGTTCAATTCTTATTTTACCCGCTGTAAATGTGTAAAAATGTAGAGTAAAAGTAAAAAGTGTGCTGAAAAAATTACACAAATAAAGTACCGATACCCAAAAATTCTACTTAAGTACAGTAACAAAGTATTTGCACTTAGTTGCTTTACAACTCTGGAGTTATCAATAGTTAACATCTTACCTGCAGTAGAAACTGTTCAGGGCCTCATCTGTTTGAATTTTCAGGAGGAAAGTTCTCATAGGAAGAATCTATAAAACCCTGTCATAATAAAGCCTCTTCAGACTCATTCAAATGTTTAACTATTCCTGCAATGATCAATCCAACACAATGTAATGTAAAACTTGTTGCACAACTGAATATATTAGGTAAAAAAAACTATCTGGAGCAAAATGTATGCTGTGAAAAAAAATCTTTTTTTTTTTACAAAATTACTTTTGTCAGATAAATATTTTGTTCATTTAGGATCAACAGGTCTTGTTCTGCAAAATACTGGTAATGAACCACGGTCTACACTACACTGTATTTAAGTAGCTGTCTAATGGAAAAGTGACAGCTGTGTAAAGGTTTAGAAAATACTTCTGACACGATTCACTGCCATATTTTGGAGATTAAAACATTTTAAACAGAAATCTAAATAACTGGCCTCAGATTAACTCGTTTCCAAATAAGATCATTTACATCTGATATTCCAAATAGTAATTCTCAGCAACTTCTATTGCAGATAAGATATTGATTACCAATAACTTTGCAAAACTCTACTTAATAAAATCTAAACAGTTCCTTTATTTTGCCAAAAAAGTTCAACTTATATGTGAGAAACCACACGACAATGCAGTTGGTCAGACAACATATAACATTTATTTATTTACTCTGAAAATGCAGAAAACCAAATGAACTTCCCTTTAAAGTGGGAACTACATGAAATTGTTGTTGGGGAATAAAAAAAATAGGTTAACTCTTCTTTCCCTATAATTTTATACAGACAAGCATAAAAAAAGAAAAAAGCATGAGTCTGAATACGGCATGGATTCTGTTTTTTTTTACAACACATTTACAGTGTCATCATAAAATAAGCCGTATGACAGGAATCCCAAAACAATGTCACATTCAATAAGCCCACTAGCGCAGCCTGCTGGTCATAAAGTATACTGCAATGCTAGTATGACAACCTACATCCAATACCAGGGAAAAACAAAAAAAATAAAATAGAGGTATACATGGATCTGTGTTTCGACAAGAGTAACTCGTCAGAAAACAGATCAATGTGCCAAACACTGAATTAACCTGAGCCAGCGTCAGTTTATTCAACGTCAGGGAATAAATGGACAATACAAGAAAGTTAAGGCTGTGAGTCAAAATCTAAACATGACGAGGTGTTTCTGAGGCTCAGTACCAACATCAAAACAAATTATTTCTTGTACCATAAATATATATATGTATATATACACTTTTAGCATGCTGTACCAATTACATTCAATACATTTTGTTGTGGAAATATTCAATCTTAAAATGTGCACATATGACACACAATCACATCTACGGTACAGAATCTAGGTCTGACAGTTTTTTAAGCTCTGATTTAAATTCTTGATGGATGCTGGTTTAGAGGTTTGAATGAAAAAAGAAAAATTAGTCCATAAAAGAGTCTCTGTCATAAAGGCAAAAGGCCCGGCCTGATCACAGACATAAATAACAACCAGCATAATTAAACTGTTGAATTTGTTTACTTTCCCCTCAATAGAGAAAACATATTTGTGCTTGAAGAGAGAAAAAAGTAAACAAGCAAGACAACAACAGAGGGGATAAATTTGTACCCAGGAGACAAGAGATTAATACTTTATGTAAATATGACAAAATGCTAACATGACATGAATCCATTGTTTAAACTAAACTTTACAAACCACTTCTTCAAAGATGGGTCATATTAAATGAACATTTAGCTTCTGTCAAGCGTGGCAGGTTAACTACGACAAACTGTAGGAGAGAAAAACCCTCATTGCTGTAACTGAGTAAACATGGGTTAGCGTGTCAAACAGCTGTAACTGGAAGGTGTGCTGGTGGAAGATATCATCAAGTATAAACCAGTAAGTGAATATATTTGTGAGTTCTACTATCTGTATCAAATCTAACCCATCTTTAGAGAAGAGTTTGCATTTGTGATCTGGTCGAGACAAGTTCCAATCATTGGTCAACAGTTGGTGCACAAGCCATTACACAACAACAACAACAAAAAAAAGCATAAAAAACAGGAGTGTTTTATAAAAAGCTAAGCTCTGAACTTGCAACATTATGCTTCTAAATCGCACAAGTAAAACAAATAATCACTACTTCTGAAGGCAACAAAAAGGAAGTTCATAGTTTAATAAAATTCTACACGGTTTGATCTGGATAAGATTAAAACAAAAACTTGCTGAAATCAATGAAAAAAATTTCTACGCCATGTGAGTGCATCATGTATGGTCCAGTGTATCCACTCATTTCAAGTTTCTTAGAAAACAGCATTCTTCAACCCTGAAAGCAATTAAGAGAATCATTATAATTCTCCGAATAAGATTTTATTTATTTTTTTTTGCGTTGCTACCTTTACCTGTTCTTTGATAAACCTCTGAGAATAAAGAATGAAACTAAATGTTCCAAATACCCAGTATGGCCCAGCCACCATGAGGTCCGTTAACAAATCACTAAATAAATTACAGGCAGCCAACAGGCTACAACAGCAAATGTTTGGGAAAAATATATTTTCCTCTTGCATACACACAAGCATACATCTGACTGAAATTATGAGCGCTCTAAATCCTCTTGTGTACTCTTTACAGTGCAACAATATGGCAGCAAATGGATAGCAGTGCTTTCATTAAAAAAAAAAGAATGGAAAATAAAATTATATACAACAAAATGAAAAAAGCAGTAGTTTCATCTTTTGGTCCTGTGTCCTTTACAGACAGAACTGCTTTTCAGCTGTTTTTTTTATTTTTTTTTTTGCTTTTCAAAAATGTTTCGTTATATCAACAACAGTAGTTTTCACAAGACTGAAGAGCTGTGGGAGAAAAAAACAAAAACAAATGTTAGAATTCTGAGTTGTACTGGCTGAAAATTTATCTTAAACCCAAAACCTGATCAGATTATTTTTTTTTTTAGTTTGTTTATTTCACTTTTTCAGACAGATAAAAGTGTGAAGAGCTGCCTCTTGGCCACAGAAAGCTGTTTTTGTTTTCTTTCCAAGCCTATTTCAGATTAGTTCACTCCCCCAAGTCCTGCAGGCTCTCAAATTAACAGACGTAACAGGAACCATGGCAACATTTAGTGGGAGTTTGCATCCTGGCCTGTTTAAAAAAAAAAAACAAGCCAGGATGCATCGTCAGTGAGAAGTAATGATAGCCTGAAGACAAAAAAAAAAGTCATGGCATAGCCTAATCAATCAGGAAAAATACAATAAATATTAAATGAACTGCAGCTCCAGATAATCTGAAGTTGTCAGCAAAACAAAGCTCATCGATAGGAAAAGGCTCATAGGTTCACAGGGACAGAGCTCACCCCAGTAAAACATGACCATATACAGTAGAAACATGCCAGAGTTTCCTCTCAAAGCCACACAAAAACCAGCTCACTGCAGGATTGCAAGCACAGTTTGTCAGCAGAGACAACACAAACTTTCAGCCATTCATGTTGGCTGTCGTCACTCTAAAACTGATATTTATTTTTAAAGCTAGAGGCCAGACGCAATATATTCATAAACTCAACGAGGTACTGCTGGTTTAAAGATATGGATTTAACAAACAATATGACAGAAGAAAGAAATACACACTCATTACAAATAACCTGATTCAATACTGAAAGTTGCTCATCAGGAACGCTGCACTGCTTTGATAAATCACACTTTGAATGACCACAACCTTGTTTTGCTGCATGCAGATTTTTGCAAAAAACTATCATTATGTTTTTCTAAAACAAACTAAAATGTATCTAAGCTGGGTCAGAATGGCTTTAAAAGGAGATTTTGGACATCTTGAAGTGAGTTCAGAGGGAAAGTTCTGAATAGTTAGTATTGTGCCAGAAAAGTCTGTAGAAATAAGTTCATATTGACATTTAACCAGCTTACAGTTATTCACACAAATTAGATTCCTGACGTCTTAAAATGATTACAATCTGAAATATTTTATATCGGTTCATACAAATAATCTTTCATGGCTATTACCAATTTTGCACAGAGGAACTGAAATATGTGACCCGTCACATCGAAACGAGGATCAAGTCTAAAAGTTGTATGTGGAGAAATAGACAGTGTTTTGATTAAAACGCTTGCAAAAATTACATTTTGTCAAAATATAACAAAGAAATGTGTTATCAATGTATTATTTCAATGAATGGTCTGAAATATTATCCTAAAAATTATTTTTCAAGCCCTTTTTTGAGCATTAGCAACCAAAAACCCAATTTTGAGGAAAAACGCCTTAAAATGTTGACATTTTCCCTGTGAGCTATCAGAGCTTTTGTTTCTTTCCAGCTGGGAAATCTCAATATTCAAAAACTATTTGAGGTTTCTTTTTTTCAAATGACAGAAAAAAATCCTCAATAAAATTACATAAAATTAGGATTTAGACCAAATATTTATGTATTATTGTAACCAATAAGACAAATTAAATATTATCTCTAGATCTACTAATGATATCAGGATGATCTAAGTATCAAAATGTAGCTTTTAAAGCCAAGAATCTGAAAATGTAATTAGGTCATTTTGACCAAATTTGACTTAATCCTCATTTCGATGTGATGGGTCACATGTTAGGTAATGAACAAAGTTTCTGTAAAACATCCAAGTCTCTGAAGAGAGCAGCAGCAACATGTGAGGCAGCTGGACTACTGGCTGACAACATCCTGAGTGGACAAAAATGTATTTTCAGAATTTAAAATACATATTTGTTGACCGTTTAGATTTGGGAAAATTTGTTTTCAGACTCTACGTTAAAAGGTTCCACTGTGTTTAATTATTCCATCAGAAATATAATATATTATGTAAATAACCATATGATGCACAATTGATGGCAAAATAAAAGCCTTTTAACTCTCTAACCTGGTCAGATTTAAACTAATTCTCCAAACTGAAAGAATTCAAACAGCTTTCTACAACATGTCAGATATGATGAGTTCATAACTTTCACACAGACCCATATTTCAAAATGTCTAAAACTATTCCTTTAGGACCGAGACAATAAGGTTGTTAGATATCGTTTACCTCCAAGGATTGCTCTGTCTCTCACCTCGTTACAACTGTGAGCCTTCTGAACCTCCATGTGAGTAACCTCCTTTAGATTTCATCTGAGCCTGAACAAGGTCCACCTACAGAAAGGATGTAAACATTATTTGATTGGAAAACCCACATTTCTGCATTTAGATGCTTGAAGTTTCTGAAAAGTGGATGAAAACCTACTGCTGCTAATCCCATGTCCCCAGAGCCTACATGTGTGGTGTGAACAAAGTTTGTTGGCTCCCCGATCATGGAGCGGTCAATTCGTCGTCGTCGTTTCTAAGAAAAAGAAAAAGAAAACAGACGTTTTAGGCTGCTACTCCTATAGTCATCTCATCATCACTTCAACTGCTGATGAAAGCTTATAAACCTATTAGCACTTCTCCATTTAAAAATTTGCCCTGCATGTTCACAGCAGTAATCCCCAGCTTCAGAATTTACAACTAAACAAGTAAAACCATTCGATGGCATGTCAAATAAGTTTATACTGAATGTACTACAATGTCAGAAAAGATGAAGGAAAAGCCTACAGGACTGATTCACCACTAACTCAAAAACACATCGCTTTCTGAACTTCCTTATAGAGTTCAAGTGACACCACGGCTGACATTTAGAAATGTTTTTATTTAATCTCTTGCATAAACTGACTGATCAGTGATCAGTACATTAACGTGTAGCTCAGAGTTTGCTGGTTTTAAAGTAAACAACAACAATCTCCAAAACCAAAAGCAGGAGTGGTGGGAACTGTTATAGAACAGGGGTCAGTTAGCTTTTTGAGACTGAGTTACTTCAGGGGTACTGAGTAACACAACGGGCTACTTGTTTGATACAAACATGAATTTGAATCACCTTTAATTATAATAATACATTTACATATATGTGAATAATTGTCTGATTACATCCTAATGTAATCAGGCAGTCAAATGATAACCATCAATAATAATTTACAGATTTGATAAATTATTAATTATTAATAACAGTTTGAGTCTCTTTTGGAGATCTTGTGTGAGACTGTAGCTGTGACTGGGGGTGTGGACAGCTCTTTGTCTCTTTGTGTCCCCGATGGACCGGAGACCCGTCTAGGTGTTCCCTGCCTTCACCCAAAGTCAGCTGGGACAGGCTCCACCCCCCACCCGACCCCGATTAGGAACAGGGAGGACATACTGTAATGGACAGATGATTTCTTTTTATGGCAGGAAGCAGACATTTATTTATAAAACATTATGTGAAATTCTGTAATTTCTTTTTATATACTGTATATATAGCGCAGAGACGTTCTTTTTCATCACATGTGCAACATATGTCACATTGTTCAGCCAGGATTAGATTAAGAAACATAACTGAATAGTCTAATTCTTCACATAAAACAAGAATTGTGTTGTCCTTGGTGTTTGTTAGACATGACAAATGGATATCATTTTGCATCCTGTTATCTGTTCTATGAACTGATCTCCATGATTTTCAACGGTACAGAGAGCAGAACTGGATTAAAAAAAATACTCACTTTTACAGAACGAAGAACAAGTTAAAAGCCACGTGAAAATCACATTTTAGTATTTTGATGATTTTCGAACCCTGATTATATTCTATATTTGTCAGTTGTAACACAGAGCTGGAAACTCATTTTTGGGCTAACATCAGTTAAAATAAACAGTGGCAGATACGTGTGAGTAAACAATTTTAACAGGATGCAGAAGTAAGATAGTTTTACTGACGGTCCGGTCCCATATGGCTTGGTGTCTAATCCCCCTTGTGGTCTGGTGCACTTCTGCTTTGTGGAGTGAGTTTAAAGAGTTTCTTCCTTGCAGATGTTTTGTTTTTTAGTGTAAGTTTAGTGTAAAGTTTTGATGGTTGTATGTTTTAGCTTCTGTTTATCTTAAGTGATTGTGACAGTGTTTTTCTGTTGCCTTTTTTATTCATTCACGTGTTTGCAGCACACTTAGCCATTTTCATGTGTCAGCCACCATAAAACCCATTTAAGACAAGACATTGTGCAATAGAAGAAAACACTTTTCAGCTTATAGTATGAATTGGAAATCACACAAATAATATAAAAGTAAAAATAGCTAGATCAATTGCAGTATTGTATAAAGCTCGAGTTATTTAATGACAAATCCCTATATATGTTGTATAATGCAATAATAGTTCCACACCTCATATATTGTATTGAAAGATGGGGAAAAGCATGTAAAACGATAACAAACCCCATTTTTATTTTGCAGAAAAGAGCAATAAGAGTTATTACTAGAAAACACTACAGTCACCCATCAAATATATTGTTTTGTTAATTGGAATTATTAAAACTTCATGAGTTGGTTGATTACAGTATTCTACAGCTTATGTTTAAGGCTCATAAAAACATGCTACTTTTGAATATACAGTTAAATTTTGTTAAAAGAGAAAGCTCTTATAATTTAAAGAGAAATGAAATATTTGTGAAGCACAGATTTCGAACAGGTTTGAGGGATCGTTGATACAGGGAGTGAAACTGTGGAATGATCTGGAGAGTGATGTTAGAAAAGCTGGATCATTGTTTGTGTTTAAAAGAATGATTAAACTTGGTTTATTGAACAAATATAAATTAAAATAAGGGGTATTTATGTAAGTTTTATTTGTTGTTTCTGTTTTGTTGTATTTTTGTAACTAGAAGATTATTAATATTTCTTCTTTTTTTCTTTGTAAAAAGGGGCAGATTTTATATGATTTTTTCTCCGTTCTGCTGCCTTTCATTTTATTTTGTGATATAAGTTTTGTATTTTCTGTAATGTAAACTTTTTTGTTTTAAATGAATGAATAAATGAATAAATAAATCCATACTCCTCTTGAAATCATGGATGTTTACAGTATAAACATGAAACAAGGAAGCTTTACTAAAGTTTCGGTAAATCAGTGATCCCATACTCACTGGCTGTGGCTGCTCTGCAATGCAGCAGCTGAAACAAACCCAGAACTCAGTCATTCTGAGGCAGACGAAGAAGCCACAACGGTTTCCTTTCTCAGCTCAGACGTCTCTCTGCGTCCGTCTTCCTGTTCAGAGCTGCCAGAGTCACGAACACGCACCGGAAACTGCTGACAGGCGGGCCACTGGCTTCTCAGCGGTAAACTGTCGGCACAAGAGCTGTTCCACAAATAACGGGCAGCACACACCTGACGATACCCTGAGGAAGAAGGCAAAACTCTTAGTTTAACATTGACATTACTACAAATACAAAATGAGAACTTGTGAGTACTTTTGCAACAGATAATAGCTAACTAGTATATATCACACAGGAAGAAGAAAAATAAACACACCTATTGTCTGTAACCTATTTCTCAAGATGCCTTCGTTTGCATTGTAGACACCCATTCAAATGAACAACTCCCAGGAATTAAAATGATCTAACAGGCCTATCTAATAGGGTAAACAGAAACTGAAAATTTATGAAGACAATTACACAAAGTGAATTTGAATGACTTTGTTAGCATCATCTGCACATGCTGTTTTAGGTGACTACAACATACCCTTCAAGGTACATGTGTGAATATTAATTTTGGACTCCTATCCCACCAATTTTTTTTTGGGATTATCAAAAGTCTGGGAGAAAATTAGGTACATCAAGCACAAATGCAAGTGCGATTTTTATTACTTTTATAAATTATAAAACTGTAGAACATAAAAAAAACTCAAAAAGGTAGTCAAAAAATAAAAAAAGTGTGTTTTACAAATGTTGAACCTTCACATTTTCAGCTTCGGAGATGTGAAATACCTCAGATTATAACAAAGCCTGCTCACCCTCAAGCTGTTTCAGTGATACCAGAAAAATGCATAAGAAAAAAAAAACAGTTTAAGAAAATCAAAGAACGCACTGGTTTGTCCTGAGAGTGGTCAAACACAGTTTCAGGTGGTTAATAATATGTCGCACCACAAGATATGCGCCTGTCAAGATATTTTTGCACCTTGTAAAATTAACATTAAATGCTTAGTTTTGCCTGGCAGTCACAAACCACCCACACCCTCTTTTGCATGTGACTAACCTGTTTGTCCATGTGGAGGCAGTGCTTATAAGGCTCTGAGTTTCACCTGAAACTCATCAGACTGAAGAAGTCTCTTGGAGGAGAGACGAAACGTTTCACTAAAGAAGAACCCATCCAGAGGGCCTACTTATTTTTTCTTTTTGATTTTTTCTACCTGGATTACTGAGATGCATCAGGACAGCCCATCCTATGTTTTATAAAAAGGGGAAAGGCTGCAACTTCATTTGTAGGAAGTTTCAAAAACATTCTACAGATTATTTTTTAGTCGTGATTAGGGGTGTAAGAAAATATCGATACACTGAAATATCGCGATATTTCATTTCATGATACTGTATCGATATTCTAAAGCACTGTATCGATTTTTTATTAAGGTTTAAAATGTCAACTTTCCTGCCAGCCGTTCATTTTTATGTTGTAGTTCAGCCTCTGACCACTAGTTGGCAGCAGTGAGCCAGCCATTTGGCTCCTCTACCTCTTGAGGTAGAGGCTATTAAGTGTTGGGTGACCATATTGTAAATTAATATTAAAAACTAAAAGCTGCAAAAAATATATTTTCTAACTATTTAGTGGCAAATTTAGTCTAATAATTGAAAACAAGGATGAAATAATAAATATGAAACAAATAAAATAAAATACATACAAAGCAGAACACAGCTAAATGTATCAAAAGTATGTCTCTGTAATATTAGAATTTTCTGAGACAATGAATTTTGGTTTTTCATTTTTTTTCCCAGTAAAAGGTTTTTATTTAACAGAATTTTTGGACAAAAAAATCGCAATATATCGCCTTGCTTACAGTATTGCAATATATCAGGATATATCGTATCGTGACCCCTCTGTTATGATATGTATCGTATCACCAAATTCTTGCCAATACACAGCCCTAGTCGTGATTACACTGAAACCACTTATTAAGGTCCTGTCTCATTAATATTTTAGACAACTTGTGAAAAACCTGTCCAACATTAAAGATGTCTAAGAGGAAGATGGAATCAAAATAATCTACTGGAAGCCTCTTTGGATCTTTACACACTGTAATGCTAACAATTAGATCAAATATATAGCTGATTTGAGTAAAATCTTCACAAGTTGGCATAAGTTGTCTAAAACAGAGGTTCTCAAACTGGGGTCCCAGGACCCCAAGGGGTCCGTGAGAGGTATCTTGGGGGTTCTCAAAAAATTTCACTAAATTGTTTTTGGTCTTTACTTTTAAAAATGCATGGAGAACAATGAACTAATAAAACAAACATAATAGACTAAATAAAAATATAAATGTTAGCCATCACATTGAAACGAGGATTAAGTCCAAAAGTGGGATGTGGAGAAATACAGGTATAAGGTTTTGATTTAACTGTTTGCAAGAATTGCATTATGCCAAAATATAATAAATTAATGCCTTACCAATGAATCATTTGAATGAACTGTCTGAAATATGATACTAAAAACATTTTTGAAGCATTTGTTTGAGCAGTAGCAACAAAAAACCTGATTTTGAATTTTTCCCTGTGAGCTAACAATGACTTTGTTTCTTTCCAACTGGGAAATCTTAATATACAAATAATATTTGAGGTTTATTCTTTATATTAAAATAAAAAATACCCAATAAATTGACATAAAATTAGGATTCAGACCAAACATCATAACCATCAAGACAAATTCTCTGGATAAACTGATGATATCAGAATGATCCAGGTATCAAAATTTAGCTTTTAAAGCAGGAATCTGAAAATGTAATGAGGTCATTTTGACCAAATTTGACTTAATCCTCATGTCGATATGATGGGTCACATATTCCCTTGGAATTTAGGGGTTGAAATGATAATAAATTATCTTTTAAAACAGCATCGGGGTTTATGAGGGGGTCCCTGGAATTTGTTTCGCCATTGTAAGGGGCCCCCGAACCAAAAGGTTTGAGAACCCCAGGTCTAAAACATTATAGTGTGACAGGGCCTTTAGGGAGCTGAAGTAAGACCTTTTTTTTATTTTAAAAGTCACGTGGCCATGTGTACAGGTGATATGTTGATAAACAAGTTTTACTGAACATAAGGAATACATAGTAATTCATAATATTAGCACATACACCACATTATTTATTTATTGTTTTGAAAATCTATTTAAACATTAGTCTGATCACATCATTTAAGATGCTTATTTTATACGTAGAGGTCTGTCACAGCATTTACAAACGAGATCAGACATTTCACTAAACAAGTAGTGATATAAGGATCAAATGTTGCCCCAGATGCAAAGTGTTTGCTGACAAAGTAGCTCTTCCCAGTTTGTGTTCCTGACTCTGCAGCTGACATTGAACCGACTACCCTGAGCTACAGAAGGACCCCACAGCGGTGTCAACTGGCTGAGAACAAGCACAGAAATGTTCACTTCACCGACAAGTAAAAACCTTAAAAAAGGATTAGTGTCACTACCTCTAAACTTAGATTACAAGGTGACTGGTATTTACAAACAAGGGTTATATAACTTCATTCTGTTGCGGCAAAGGCTAGCGTCTTCTTAAAAATCAGAACTCGCAGCAGCTTTTGATTAACATTACATTTATTCATTTTCATTTATTCCGTAGTGTGAGGCTTACATAAATAAATACACATACTTGCCTACAGAGAACCAGCGTTAGGTCTGTCAGGTTACTACAGTTAGCTCGAAGGCTAACCTCGTTAGCAACCGCAGGTCTGAGGGTTTTCCTCACTGACAGCTAGCCGACCAAGCTAACAGAATCCGCTTCCGAGCTCAAAGACCCCAATGTTTAACAAAGATAACACGTAAAACAGGTGGACGCGCGGAAAACTGTGGCTAATTGAGCAGTAAACATTTTTTTTCGTGTGTTTCAGTAGATATTTTAAGAGAATAAACTTACCAAAAGGTAGCCGGGAGGGAAACGTACACGGTCGACTGAAGACTGAAAAAAATTGCCCCGTAAAAAAAAAAAATCAGGAACTGAACCGACTCGTTACGTCGAGCAACTTCCGGTTTCGACAGCGACGACTTCCGCTTAGGTCCACGTTTTTACCATTCCCGGGCAGTAAAACTTTACTAAGCTGTTAAAAAGAAGAATTTTAAATCCTAAACATGAGACCATTAACAGAGGATGAAACGAAAATAATGTTTGAGAAGCTGTCGAAGTAGTAAGTGATCCTAAATTGATATTATTGCCCCGAAAAGGCCCAAAGTTAAACGGTATTAGCATGTGTGCTAGGCTGTGTAAGATCCCATGTATCTTTCTCTTTAAAGCATTGGTGAAAACATAAAGCTTCTCGTGGACCGACCTGACGGAACCTACTGCTTCAGGCTTCACCAGGACCGTGTTTATTATATGAGGTATTATTACAGTTATTAAAATATTTGTATGGGGTTATTATCTTGAAGCTCATTCAGCATTATTTTCTCTCCACAGTGATAAAATCCTGAAGTTGGCCACAAACTTCTCCCGGGATAAGCTAATTTCAGTAGGTACTTGCTTTGGGAAATTTACAAAAACCAAGAAGTTTCGCCTGCACATCACAGCTCTGGATTTCTTGGCGCCCTATGCAAAGGTATGTATGATGTATTTTTGCACAATAACAACAATCCCTCTCCTCTGGACTTGTGTCTCCACAATAACTGCTGCATCACTGGATCATCTGCAGATTAATGTGTTGTTTTTGTTAAGTTCTAACAATTTATCACATTTTAACACTTAAATGTTTATATGCAGAAACACAAGTTAATGTCAGTGACAAGCAGGCTTGAAGTATGGAAAATTTCAATGAATTGTAAATAGACAAAACTTTTAAGGAATACATGAAGACTTTTGATTTATAAACAAACGCCCTCTGTCCTGCTATACAACTTTTAAATGTATGCCTTTGCATTATAATCCTGCATGTATAAATAACTTGGAACTGTCATGTCTTTAGTTCAAGGTGTGGGTGAAACCTGGAGCAGAGCAGTCTTTCCTGTATGGAAACCATGTGCTAAAATCTGGCCTTGGCCGTATTACAGAGAATACCATGCAATATCAAGGGGTGGTAGTTTACTCCATGGCTGATGTACCTTTGGTAAGTAACAGACATTAGCATGTGGACTGTATTTTATTTAAGTTTAATGTATTTATTGTCATCCTTGCTACTTACCAAAACAAGAAAAGGAAGAGTTTAGGAATATAGGGCAAGACTGCTTCCCATGTTCTAGATAAGTCATTTATAACCCTGAAGAATAGACAGGTTTAATTAGGGTTTGTCAAGAAACTACTTTAAGTCAGACCAGTTCAGTGACAGCATTCTTTAGACAGATGAAGAAAGATCCGCCTGTACCAGAAAGACAGGAAAAGCCAGTGCCATTAGGACCGCATGGCTTCTGATAGAAACGACATGTTTATTGGTTTTTGTAACAGAAATAACCAAAGTAATGAACTCAAGTGTTTAGGGACATGCTGTCTGATTAGTGCTGGTAAGATGGAGAGCGCTCCACAGTACGTGGAAAAGCCTTCTGCCAAAAGCAACTTAAGATTGTTGTAGTAAAAACTGAGAAACCATCACGTTAGAGCATGTGTCAAACTTAAGACCCGTAGGCCAAATCTGGCCCTTGTTACGATTTTATCTACTTTTGTGTGCATTTAGAAAAATGTACACTTGTCTACTTAAAAAAAAACATGTTTCTACAAAGAAAAAAAGATTGCAAGAGGAGCTATGAATATTTGGTCTTGTTTTTTCCCCTCAGGGGTTTGGAGTGGCGGCCAAGTCAACCCAGGAGTGTCGGCGTGTGGATCCCATGTCCATCGTGGTGTTCCACCAGGCTGATGTGGGCGAGTTCATAAGGAATGAGGACACTCTGACATAAAGCTACTCCATGGACAGTTTTTTTTTAAATAAATTCACACCAAGAACTGATTTTTGCAGCTGTTCAGTTTGTCCACCCAGCTTCTCAATTTAGTGGCTGATGTGAATCACCACCTGGTCTAAACCGTCGCTGTTAGAATGTGAGTCTCAGGATTGAAATAATTAGGTAAACTTTACCTCGGGAACATTTAGAGCCCAATGACCCACCATTTTTATTTTTGTATCAAACATTGTCTAAACGAAGGGTGTGTTAAATCCAATCTTTTTATTTTTTTGTGATTAGAAACTACATTTTGAACAGTTTTTTATTTATTTAGCAGATAGTACAATGCTTATAAATCAACATAAATCCCTGTATTTTGAAACATGCCATACTGATACAAAGTTTCTACAGTCATCAAAAGTTTGTGCATGTTTGGATTTTGGATAAGAACAGGGTACAAAGCTAGAATGAAAGAAAAACAATGTTAGTTTTTTTTCCAGTACACTTTCTGAAAAATAAATCTGAATAGTAAAGTCTGCTCAGCTTTGATGAAATGCTTTTCTTTTTCTATTTAACTAAATGGAAACCCTGCTTTACATAATGTACAGAAAGGACCAAATTAAACAAAAGCTGTCAGCTTCATGTAAACAAAACAACTTAAACCATTTTCAACTTTTTCATTGTTCTCCATCGATCCTTTAGGTTGATGTTTGTTCGATTTTCGAAGGAGTAATATGATAGGATCTTGCTCCAGTTTCCCTCTCCAAACCTGTTCACCCCTTCTATTAAATTATCTGTCTCGCTGTCAGTCCACATCTGTAAAAACAGAAAAATAAAAGGTCTGTTAGCTTTTTACTGCTCTGAAAACTCAAAGTCATAGCAATTTACTGTAATGATGTAATAGTTTTCTGATGCAAAGGACTACAGAAATTTGCCTCTGCAGTGCCTTCATTGACTATATGACAGAGTTGAGCTTAGGTTGTCAAGCTTCATTGGCTACTCCAGCGCAAAAACACCTCTACACTATCACCAGGCTATAATAATTATGGTTTTTATTAAGGTAGTCAAAGTACAGAGTTGGTAACCTAATTTATCATGAAATTACATAATTTAACTGAATTTGTATGTTTACTAGCAAACCAACCACCACATAACCATGTGGGAGCATTTTGATTTATGCCACTTAATGAGAAGTCACTTTTTACACAGAAACCTAACAAACAAGGTAGATAAACGGGTACAGGTGGACTCTTTTTCCTCTTTAAACATCTGTCCACTGCAAAAGCCAGGACTTGTCACTTTCTGCTTACCCTCTTCCTGCTTTGTGTATTTGAGGTGGTGCTCTTATTTAACCCTTTGAGATAAAAAGAAAAAAGTTCAGATTAGCATGTTTACAACAAAACGCTAGAACCATTAAATGTATTTATCGACGAGTCATTACTGGAATTCTTTGCAAAGTTGAACTCTGAGTCATCGTCGCTCCACGTGTCTTTACTCTCCACTGCTTTTCTGACATGATCTTTCCTGTAAACACATAAAGTGTCTCATACAGTACAGTGTTTTACTGAGAAAAACGCTACATTTAAATAAAAATGTGCTGATTTATGATTAAGATAAAGTGCACCTCATAAATTTATTCTGAGACATATGTAAATTTAAAGCAAGATAAAAAATAATTTGCAACAGTCCAATAACTGCTGTTTTTTTCTCACCATTTGGAAATGGGCTGCATGACTATGCGTGGAGTGGAGCTCTTAGAAACGGGGGGACGTGAGGACACAGTGGGCGAGCTGTCCAAAGAAGAGTCTGAGATAGTACAGTCTTCAATGTCACCTGAATTGCTGAGTAGAGCAGAAGTACAAGTTAGTCATGTTTATAACCAAATCACCATTTAAGATAATGAGATCAAAGGAATATAATCTGTGTCCTATTTACACTTTCTTGCTTGGAGGAGGGGACAGTGATTCGGGTGGTCTCTGTGTTGGGGTTTTGGCGGGGGTCGACTGCGCCTGTGGCTCGTCCTCACGTTCTGATGAGTCTTTTGACTTGTTGAGTTTTCTAGATGAGTGTAAAGCAAATCATTACTCTGAAAAATTTCTGACTGAAAGTTTGAACTGAATCAAACTGACTGATCATTGTCACTGAAAAGATTCAGTTGCATAAACTTCTCATTTAACAAAAGTGCTATTTGCTGCTAAAAAACAGACTCATTTCTACCTAAAAAAAGAAAATTAGTCCATTGGACTGGGCAGTCGCTCTCCCAAATTTTTACCTGCTCTCTTATTAAATGCTACAAGCAAGTCAAAGATGGTCAATATTTTTAGACGTTAAGGTGTATCTTACCCCCCTGTGAAAAGATAACTCCGCCCCAAGGCGAAATTTGAAAAATGCATCAAAGTGGGTAGGGGAGGGGGTGTGGGTGGGGAACGGGGGGTTAGAGAGCGGAGGTGTGGCCAGGACGAGAGAACGTGACAGCTAGCATAACTGATGCTACATGGAGAGTGACCACAGTATGGGACAGAGGAGGAGGAGCGCTCCGATAGCCGGACAGAAAAAAAAAACATACAGCTACAGCTGCTCACAAGAAAACTAGTTTAAATCAGGAATAAAAGTGTTGGGTCTTGTTTGACTGAAGTTCGGTCCGGTTCCATGTCAACCTCTTTGGAGGTTTACCTGTATAAAGAGCCCTAAAAATCCATAAATTTCGCAAAAAAATCCTTGCAACTCGCTGTGCAGGACGTACTGCTGGTGTGTGTGTGTGTGTGTGTGTGTGTGTGGAGAGAGAAGGAGAGAGAGAGAGCAGCGCAGCAGTCAGCTCTCCCCACCCGAGGCTGAAGGTCAACAGACGATCATGCTAAGCTTGCTAACTGTTCCACCCTCTGACTGCTGCAGGGGCGTGTCTTAGAGAGAGGCTTTTATACCAGAACACAGCYGCAGTGACGAAACCGTGGAGAAGACACGTCACAGAGGAGAGCCGTTAACCAATATGCAAATTAGCCTGCAGTACCACTGCTCTACCCATATGAGCAGCAAAAACACGTTTTTAGACCAAATATTACAGATTTGAACAAATACGCATAAAAACATCAAAATTAGCACAGAAACAGTACTATATAACATTTTAGACACATTCTAGACAGTTTATCAGCTAAAAAAAGTTAATTTTGGGGTAAGTTACTCTTCAAACATGTTGAGCTGTTCTGAACACAAACATTAATTTAGCTGCAAACATTTATCAGTTTTGTAAAAGAAACATATTTTAGAAGCCATTTGAAATGGGTAAATATTTTAAAATTGCATCTTTAGGTGAACTGCACTGACTGGACTTACCTGCTGAATGACTGGTTGGAGCCGTCATGGAGGTCCTCGTCATTCACTTCTTTGTTTCTGTCTGAATCCGAGTCTTTATCGTTCTCAGCGGAGCACACCGCCACAACACTTGAAGTTCTGTTTGACAATGCAGCACCACATACAGAAAACACAAAATAGTGAACAGAATTATAAAATATGACAGCTGAAGGCAGAAAAATATACACATTTATTTTTGTTTGTTTCTGTGGTGTAGAACTTACCTGTTCAATCTAGTGCTCCGTCTGGGTGTGATCACTTCTTTGTCTGTGACTGGGAACTGTGCGTCTTTTGTTTTGCTCCCACTGGAAACAGTTTGTGGTTGCTGTTTTGTTCCCTCTTCAGTTTCTAATTCCTCAGCAGCTGTTATACACTGGGAGCTTGGCTGGCTGTCTGGCTCAGCCAACAGCCTCGGCACGGTGTACGCCGACAGAGAACCTGCCTGTGTTTGAGGATCCTTATCTGCCTGTGGAGGCTGGTCTGCTGGGGAAGCTTCCATGGGACTGCACGAGTCTCTCTGAATTAACACGTCCAGTTCCGAGTTCAGAATTGTGCCCCTCATGGGATCAGGTGTGAGCTGTAGACAAATCTCATGTTCTTGCGCCTCTGTGTCCACCTCTCGCGTCAACTGATCAAATGTTATTTGACATGGACCTTCAGCCAGGGCATTGAAGGCCATTTCAAGTCTGATTCTCTGGATAGGTGAAGGTTTTCTGAAAAAGAAGAGAGACAAACACACAAAGAAAAAAGGGGCAAAATATAAACAAAACTGATTGGTGCCCGGAAAAATTACCCCGACCATGCAAATGCACAGTCAGTTTGCAAGATCACGTTTTCTTCCTTTCTAAAGACAAGACTGAAATAAAATAAAGTATTGATAAAATAAAACGAAAACCTTCTCCAGATTATAATTTGGTTAAAAGGAATTAATGGTGGATATTGTGGTGTTAATAAATCTAACAGATTCTGGACTGTATATTTGTAATTCTTCCCGATATTTAAACTGGTTTTTATTAGGACAAGAATCCCTCAGTAGCTGCATTTCCATTGCAAATGTGCGCAAAACTGTCGATATTCTTTTAATGTTGAAAAAACACAGTTTTGCAACTGCAGTGTTTC